GCCATGGCGGAGGACGATGGACTCGATGAAGAACTTGGCGACTTCGACAGCAGTCCCCGAAGGAAGGGCTTTCGTCTCGGCGTAACGAGTAAGATAATCGGTGGCGACGATTATCCAGCGGTTCCCCATCGTCGACGGTGGAAAAGGACCCAGCAAATCCATTCCAATTTGCTGGAAGGGCTTGGTTGGCGGGGTAATCGGCTGTAGGAGACCTGCTGGCTTTGACGGTGGTTTCTTGCGTCGCTGGCACTCATGGCACGATCGTGTGTAGAGATGGACGGTCTTCGGAAGCTTTGGCCAGTAGTACTTATCACGAATCCGGGCAAGGGTCCTGCTGTAACCGAGATGTCCGGCCGTTGGGTCGTCGTGGCACGCTTGAAAAATTTCTTCTCGGAGGCTGGCGGGGACAACCAGTAGCCAGGGGGTTTCGCTGGTTCCGAAATTCTTTCTGAAGAGCACGCCTCGCCGCAGGACAAAGCTCGGTAGGTCCCGAGAAAAGACCCGTGGGACAGAGCCTCCTCGACCTTCGAGGCTGTCGATCACGGAGCTAAGTTCCGCGTCGTCGCGTTGCAGTGCCTTCATGTCGGTAGCGTCAACTGCGCCTAGAAAACGGGCGTCGTCATCGTCGTCCGCGCCGGAGATTGGAGGTTCGGCTGGAGCCCTAGACAAACAGTCAGCGTCATTATGCTTGCGGCCGGACTTATGCACAATGGTTACGTCGAATTCCTGCAGTCGAAGGCTCCAGCGGGCGAGGCGTCCGGACGGATCCTTGAGGTTTGCGAGCCAGCAGAGGGCGTGGTGGTCTGTGACCACGCGAAACGGGATCCCGTACAAGTACGGGCGGAACTTGGTTATCGCCCAGACGACAGCAAGACATTCTTTGTCGGTCGTTGAATAATTTTGTTCTGCCTTAGACAGCGCCCGGCTTGCGTAAGCGATTACTCTCTCTGCCCCTTCTTGTCGCTGAACGAGTACCGCACCGAGACCGGTATTGCTGGCGTCCGTGTGGATTTCAGTCTCCGCCGACTGGTCAAAATGTCCGAAGATAGGAGGCGACTGGAGCCTTCGCTTGAGTTCGTCGAACGCTTGCTCTTGCTCCTCTCCCCACTGGAACTGCACGTCGTCTTTCGTCAGATGCGTCAGCGGTGCAGAAATTTGCACAAAATCACGAACGAAACGTCTGTAATAGGCGCACAGCCCAAGGAATCTTCGAACGGTCTTCTTGTCCGATGGCTTCAGGAACTCGGCGACAGCGGACGTCTTGGCGGGATCAGGGCTTACACCCTGAGCACTCACGACGTGGCCCAAGAATTTGAGCTCACCATAGGCGAACCGACACTTGGAAGGCTTGAGGGTCAGCCCAGCAGCTTTGAAGGCCTGTAGAACGGCTCGCAGTCGTCTCAGGTGCTCGTCGAATTCACTTGCGAAGACCACAACATCGTCGAGGTAGACGAGACAGCTTTGCCATTTCAAGCCGGCAAGGACGGTGTCCATAACGCGCTGGAAGGTTGCCGGCGCTGTGCACAGCCCGAATGGCATTACTTTAAACTCATACAGTCCGTCCGGCGTGACGAAGGCCGTCTTCTCACGATCTCGTTCGTCGACCTCAATCTGCCAGTACCCGCTCTTCAAGTCCATCGACGAAAAGTATCGGGCGTGGCGTAGTCGGTCCAGGGTGTCGTCGATGCGTGGCAGTGGGTAGACGTCCTTTTTTGTTACGGCGTTCAGTCGGCGATAGTCCACGCAGAACCGAAGAGTCCCGTCTTTCTTTTTCACCCGGACTACCGGTGAAGCCCACGGACTGCTTGAGGGCTGGATAATGTCGTCGTCAAGCATTTCTTGTACCTGCTGCTGGATGGCTTCCCTTTCTTTCACGGAGACCCTGTACGGCGGCCGATGCACAGGGAGTGCGTCGTCATCAGTAATTATCCGATGTTTCGCAACCGTCGTTTGGCGCACTTTCGACGACGTGGAGAAGCACTCACTGAACTCGGCGAGAAGGTCACGAAGTTGTCGTCGTTGTGGGGCTGGGAGGGATGGGTCGATGTCGAGCTCTGAGGACGTGATTGTCTTGTTCTGCGTCGGAGAGGCGTCTTCTGAGATCACGGCGATCGCGGCTGAGTCTTCAATTTCCTCGACGTAGCCCACAGTTGTACCCTTTGTAAGGTGCTGCGACTCTTGCCGGAAATTGGTGACAAGGGTTACTGTACGCCCGTCCTGGAGCTCGGTTACGGCTCTTGCAATGCCAATCCCTCGTCCGAGGAGAAGTTGGACGCTTCCTTCCAGCAGTGCTACACCGCAGGTGGCTCCTTCGGTCCCGACGGGCACAAAGACACTCGACAGCGGCGGCAGGTTTACGTGGCTGGCGAGGACTCGCACTGCAGCTAACGTCGGTTTGGTATTTTCCACCGATGGGGCAGGCTTCCGAAGCGTCAGCTTGTTCTCCGCAAGGTCGATGATGGCGCCGTAATCACACAGGAAGTCCATTCCGAGAATGACGTCTTTCGAACAGTCTTGCAGAACGACGAACTTCACAGGGCATGTTTCGCCGTGAATCTCGACGCGAGCGGTGCATCTCCCGACTGGTGTAATGTGGTGTCCTCCGGCGGTTCTTATTTGTGGTTCATCCCACGGCGTCATGACTTTTCGAAGGCGGCGGGAGAGCCTCCCACTCAAGACTGAGTAGTCTGCTCCGGTGTCCACGAGTGCGGATGCGTCGTGGCCGTCGATGACGACGTTTAGGGTATTGGACACCACTGCAGCGGCGTCGTTTTGGTCTCTGGTGGCGTTCGAGTGGGGGCCCCCCGACGTTCGTGGAGGATCTTGGCGTCGGTCGTCTTCGGCAACTCCACCTCCAGGGGTTGCCGCGCCTAGTTTCCCCGGCGAGGAGCGAGGGGGGACAGGCTTTCACGTCGCGGTCGGTGCATCGGCGAAGCTGGACGTCGCGGTGACGGCGACCGGAACTCTCGGCGGGACGCAGGGCTCGGGGACTGAGGTCATCGTCGCAGGTACTCGTCGATCTCGATAGGGCGTTCACCATGACGGGGGCGCGGGTCGTTCGGGTGGAACCCGCGTAGCCCGAGTCGTCGGTATGGGCATCGGCGGTAGGTGTGGTCCGCTTCCCCGAAATGGAAGCACAGAGGGCGTCGGTCGGGCGTTTGCCACAGGTCGGTCTTGCGGGGTGCGCGAGGCTCCGGGTAGGCGTACTGGACCTGGTCGTCGCGGCGGTGGTCGTGCTGCGGCGCAGGAGACTGACGTCGGGGCGGCGTGACATAGGTGCGGCGAGGAGGCGGTGGCCGTCGGGCCACTGCGGCGTAGGTCAGGGCGGGCTCTTCGGGTGGTGCTACGCAGGCAGGAGCCTCCGGTTGAATTGCCCGCTGGACTTCTTCGCGCACCACTTCGGCGATCGACAGCTCAGCCGGCTGGTTGGCAGCAGGCAGCAGCTTGCGGAGCTCCTCCCGGACGATGTCGCGGACGATTTCCCGAAGGCCGTCGACACCGGTGGCGTTCAGGTCTAGTCGGCAAGATGCGGCGGTTCGAGGAGCAGGCACGCCGGCGAGTCGATGGTAATGGCTTGCTCGGGCCGACAGCGCTCGCTCGATGTTAGTGGCTTCAGCCACAAAACCGTCGACGGTTGTCGGGGGATGGCGGACAAGGCCCCCGAAAATTTCAGCCTTCACGCCAAGCATGAGGACGCGGAGCGTCTTCTCATCGGCTGCCTCCGGATCGGCTCGGGCACATAGGCGCATGACATCCTCTACGAAGCTGGTCACGCTTTCGTTGGGGCCCTGCACCCTTGTTTGGAGAAGGTCCTCCGCTCGCTGCCGACGGTGGTGGTTGAGGGACGTTCGCTTCAACTCCGCGGCGCAGGACTCCCACGTAGTGAAGGACGCTTCGTGGTTTTCAAACCAATGCCTCGCAGTTCCTTCAAGCGCGAAGTAGAGATTGTGAAGGTATTGTTCAGTCGTCCATCCGTTGTGGCGGGCTACACGTTCGTAGTGTTGTAGCCAGTCTTCAACGTCCTCGTGGACGTCTCCGTGGAAAGGCGTTGGAGTCCTGGGTGCGATCGGCAGGTACACAACGGCAGAAGCGGCCGGGGTCTGCGCCTGGTTGGCCATCGTCGTCTTCGGCTTGGTCGTGGGTGGCAGAAGTCCGTGTTCCGGGGGTAGACCTCGGATGCGGCGACTTGACCGGGTCTCGGTCTGGTCTTCGTCGGGTCCTCCGGAGCTGGGGTTTGGACTTGTACTGCGGGAACTCGGAGGGCTGCGCTGCACGGACATGCGGTACCCAACACCTCCACCAGAATGTCACGGGTGGTGAGTCGTGACCAATAAACAAGAAATAAACAGAAATAAATAAACGTTTAATGTGGCGAACTTGTGCCAAAAATAAAGAAGGAAACAGAAGAAAGCAGAGCGTCGCGGGCGTCGAAGTCGGCGTGTCAGCAGAATCGAGCGCTGGGGCGAGACTGACTCGACAAGGTCGCGGGCGGCCTCTTATCTAGAGTGCGTCGCTATCTCGAAGATTCGGCGAAAGCAGCTCGAGCGTCGCGTGATCGGGCGAGAATGAACACGCACTTTCTAGAAAGCAGGAATGATAGAAGTTACATGCGGTACATGAATAAACGAGAACTTTCTGGAGGTCCGTGACCGAGCGTTGCTTTCTCAGCCCTGGGCGCGGCAATATTCCGACGAGTCGGAGTATACTTAGTGAGATGGCCCATCAAAACCTGAATTGCAACGCAGTAGAAATAACATTTGATTTTCAACAGAGACTCAAAGCAGTGTATCTAGACTTTAAAATGAAATGTATTAGAATTTATACTCCTTGCGTGGGTTTCTAGATAGACGGCTCTGAGAGGGAAGACGGCAATAGGTTGCATGACTTTTGGTCCTGATCTAACCGTTGTTTTGAGGGAAGGGGAAAGTGAGTGCAAGTGTCACTTTTATGTATGCCTATATACGCATGCAGTGTTTGGAAAATGCCTGCATAAAACCGTGTGAAGGAGTAATAACTGGTTTATTAAAAATGCAAAATTCGAGTATACGGTACACTGCTTCGTGTCCATGGGGGGCCTTGTACAGCCTTCGTGCCCATGGGAGACCTTGTACTGCCTTCATGTCCATGGGAGACCTTGTACTGGTAACCTATAAAGAAAAAAGATGCACAGTTACACGTTGATCTGCTTATCCAAACTTCAATGTCCGCGCAAGGCATCCTGTTCACAGCGCAGCACTACCTCAGCGCTGAACAGTATTACAAACCGGGACATCAATCCTTTAGGAAAGGAGGACACTCAGAACACACGATACAAGCCATGGAAGTAGCAGTGACTCGTTACCTTAACAGGACTGAGTTAGCGCTGCACTGTATGTGTGAACCAGCCCTAAATGCGGAAAGTCACATTCAAAATTCCTACATTTTTGCTCACCCAGGCACTTAATTTACAAACTACCTTGATAGTTTAATGAGTGGCACTAATAACATTGTCAGGGGCACCATAATGCAAAAGTATATTTTGCCCCCGAGTCTGCGAGAATCAATCGCTCACTGTTTTTGCCGCGGCATTGCACTCTTTTATTTCGACTTTTGAAAAGGTCTACCAAAGATAAGCGAGCAGATGTTATCGCTTATGAAGTTTACCAATTTTGAACATAGAGAAGCTAAGACTTATAAGCATCTCGCAGAATTAACATGGCAATTTGGGCCAACTGATCCATGATCGTAGACAAGCGCCGTAAAAAACACATGGACAATAAGTGGTGGTAAACACTGGCGCCAGTGTTTTATGTCCACTTGTTGTCCCTGTGTATTTTTATTTAATTTTTTTGTTTGTTTACTATCTTGAACAAGTATTTTTAATCACAACGGATAGGAAGGAAACGGTAATAGGGTTCTATGCGGATCATAAAGCCATGCTCCGAATGGGTGATTATCAACTGCAGGTTTCACAACAGTGGCGGATCCAGGGGGAAGGGGGGGGACCCCCTTTTTCCCCCCCTTCTCGGAGGGCAATTGGACATGAGTGGACCCCCCTTGCACAAGAAAGAATGGGAGAATAGTATCCTTAAACATTTTCCGCCCACCCCAAAACAAACAAAGGTCTGGATCCGCCACACTAAGTTTCAATTATTGGGAAGATCGAGACATCAGAGGCCGAGTTCAAAAAGTAAACTTACGATACCCGAGAAGAAATCCGTATTAACAAAACAAACTTTGTCGCAACTTTTGAGTGACTTACAACGAAATATTACGACATTCTCCAAAGTGTCTCACAAACTTTTTAGGGCAAACATGGCCACACATCACTTGGCTATTTCGCCGCGACCAGCAATGAATATAGAAGCGTGGGCAAGAGGCATGTGTTTTGCGCACTGTTCACATGCATCCCTACTTGAAGCAGTATAAAAGGCAACGCTAAACTACACACGGAGGATTCAGCCGACGAGTCTGCCGAGCTGTCCATCCTGCCCGTTAGAGCTAACAATGTGCAGGACTGCGATCAAAGGCGAGATGCGCCAATGAATCAACGAAAGCAAATGCCACACAAATCTTCAGTGCACGCAAAAGGATCCTTCACCTATGAATGGCGTGAACCTGATTTGGTGATCATTAGCGCCCCCTTGTACTTCAGTAGTGATTTTCAAAGTGGTGAGCAGCTGTACGACCCTACCACACGAAAAGGCACATTCCTGACTGGATGTGCCTTTTCAATGCCAAAGCACTATAAGTCCATGGAGCGAAAAATCCGAGTTGTACCAAACGTTAACAGAGGAATAAAAGAAAGAATAAAATGTGCTTTCACAGCTGAGATTTGAACCCGGTGCTGCTGTGTGAGAGCCGGACATGCTAGCTGCTGTGCTATCTCAGCCGCTTTGGAGTGCGACATTACTCTCCCCTCAAAAAGAAGCTTGTCCCATTACAGCAAAAGATGGCATGTCTTTACCCGTTTTTTGTCCTTGTTTATCTGAGGCTGTTTTTTCATCATGTTTGACGGCATCGGCGTTGATGTGCCCGAAAGATGGTCATAAAAATATGTCCTCGGTTCGATGACATCACACTTCACGTGACGACATGACGTACCATGATGTGTGACGCCGTATTATGTAACGTAATACAAATATTAGAGGGGCACTTAGTTATACATACGTGGATTGAATGCGAAAGCATTGCCATTCCTAACAATACAGGAAAAAAAAGGAAGTGCCGTTAGGACGGGCAATGCTTTCGCATTCAATCCACAAAGGGATACCTAAGTGCCCCTGTAATATTTTGAGTGGAGTAGAGCTCAAATAAACGCCGTACGATGCAGTATATCCATGATTAAGTTGCTGCTAGTCGTGAGGCTTAATGTTTTGCACCAACAATACCATAGTTTTTCCTCGGTTGCGACGAAGTGCCACTGCGCTACGAACTTGCTAGAAATTTCTGCATATGCGACCACTTTCTTCTGGAAACCTATGGTGACCTGCCACTCACTTTTGGCCAAAGTGAAAATACCAGATGTGAAAACAGCCATAACAAGCATTAAAGAAATCAAGATCGGGGTCATAGCATTAGGTTCCCAACGTGGCGAGACTAGCACAGGATTTCTGTTACTCGCCGTTTAAGACAGGAGTCGACTTTTTCCGGTCTGATCTTGAAAGCGACGTTTGGTTCCGTTAATTTTGTAGCAGAAAGCCCGTGCTTTCCCGTTTGTGGGGTCATTTTCTCGGTTCAAAATATGATGCAGAGTCCTTCCCATAAAAAATGCATGGGTGCCCGCTAGGACTCTTCGAAATGGTTAAATTAACTGAGGTCATTATACTCTGTTGCCACTCTAGAATAGCAGAAGGCCCTCCCACAAAGCCCTTCACTCTTTTTAATAAGCAAACACTAGAGAGGAGGAGAGCCGAGAGGACACCGCCAATCATGGCGAGCAAAGGGAATTGTGGGAGGGGCATGTGCTATTCTATAGTTGCAACTAGGGATGCCGCGAACTTTTTTCGAATCGAAGTTTCGATGATCGAATCAAGCGGTTCGAAAGGTTCGAAAGATTTCGATTTTTCGAATTGTCTATATCGTAAAATTCGACGGAGGTCGAATTTTCGAACTTGTTAAGCTCAGAACTTCGACGCTTTTCGAACCGTCAAACTTATTACGTTAAAAAATTCGATCTTTTTCGAACTTTCGAGCTTATTGCGCTGCAAGGTTCGATGCTTGTCGAACTTTCGAACTTGACTGACCAAAAAATTCGATGCATTTCGAATTTTCGAACTTATTTATCAAGAGAATTCGAAAAGTTTCGAACTTTCGAATTCTGAAATGTCCGAAGTTCGACGAACTTCGAACTTTTAGGGTAAAAGTTCGACGTTCGTCGAACTTTGAAAGACCGGCGGACGGTTTCATTTGATTTCAAGTAGTGGGGTACATTCGTAATTTTTTTTCTCGAACTTTTACACGCGGTGCTGCGTTTCTTACGAAATACAATGTCGTTTATTTCAATGCTCTGGCATGCTTAGGTTTAAAGAAATAAATCCCCGAAGGGGCGAGGAAGGACGACGGGTTTTTGACGATTATCATTTGTGCCAGATTTGAAGCACGCTGCAGCCGGAGCTATTTATGGTATACTTTTTTAAGAATGATCTATGTATATCCTAGGTAAGTGTCGACTTAAGATGTGATGATTGTTATTCAACGTGAGTTCCAAAGAAATGTTCAAACATGTATCTGCATGCAATTATGACCTAAACTTGATATTTATTTTCGTCTAAGTTGTTTGAGGTATCGCATTTAAATTAACACCACAGACAGAACATATCTAATAGTGTTTAAGTTCAGCACGTCATTAAAAGAAAACTTTTTTTTTTCGCTTCACGTTCCTCGGACGTGTTTCTTTTAGCCTGTACACATTTTGGTAAAAGAAACTTGTTTCGAAGTTCTGAACCTCTGAATATGCAAGAATAGAACACTTCCGACGAATTCTTGAAAGTTTTTTTTTTCTCCTGCCTTTTAATCCCGCATTTATTCTCTTTCTTTTTTTTTTTTTTTTTTTTTTTTACTATCGGCACAGGTATTTAGGTCGAAAAGACAGCTTTCAACTTCCGAACCACTAAGCATGTGACGAGTAGTGCCTTCTGAAAACGAGTTTCTAACAATGACCATCTACGCAACCTTTTATGCAGTGAAGAGCGACAGTAGCTACACATATGCATAAATAATTTCAGATTAAAATAAGCTCGACCACGCCTTCTTTCCCCGTATTGTTTTTTTTAACAGTCCGAAATACCTGCAAGGGAGAAAAGAAAACTGAAGCCCCCCCCCCCCCCCCCCCCCCCCCCCCCCCCCCCCGCTAACCTCTTTCCCCCCGTTTTCCCTCTTCCGACGCCACTTGTATGGTAGAACGCTTCTCGACCTCGAGTTGTGTCGGCTTTTGTGCTTTTTGCGAGGCGATTCCTCCGTCCCAGAAAATAAACCTCCAGGAAAATTATAAACTTCACCGGATCGGATTACTACCAGCGTGCAAGGGGTGGCGAGCTAGTTTGCCAGGTCGCTTCAAGGTTCTTCTGAGCCTCAACCTCCTGCTCGCCCCTGGCCGTTTCGAACTGGATGAGTCTCGTAAAACAGTGTGTTCGTGTAATCACTACTGCGTGATGCAGGTTAGAGAGCCCCCCGGCGGCTGGCGGTCACAATTTTGCACTGTCAAATATTCTAGCACGCCCGGGGCACTCGTCGTCTCATTTAATTGCCTGACCAACTTCGCAGAATCTAGGTTTTTGCACCCTAACTTTTCTAAACTTGATTTTGTGAAAACCAGTGAGTCGTGAAAACGTTATTTAAAGCTGAAACTGAGGAAAAACTTGAAAATCGGACTTCGAACTTTGAAAACTTGGATTAGAAAGAAATTCAAAATCTTCGAAGCTTTATTTTTTTTTTTTAATTTAGCGTTAAAAGAGAATCGAAACCTTCGAACTTTTCGAACTTTATGCAGAAAGAAATTCGAAATCTTCGAATTGTTCGAACTTCATGTGAATAAAAATTCGAAGCGTTCGAAGTTTTCGAATTCTTTTTCCAAAGAATATCGAAATCTTCGAATTTATCGAACCTGAAGTAAAAAAATATTCGAAATATTCGAATTCGAAATTTTAGAAACCGTGAAAGCTTCGAATTTTTCGAATTCGAAACTCCGCTGTGGTCAAAAGTTGCAAATTTTTCGAATTCGAACCTCGGTCGGTACGAAAATATCGAAATTCTTCGAAATCGAACCTCAGTTCGCTTCGAAAATATGGAACCCTTTCGAAATCGAACCTAGGGTGGTTCTCGACATCCCTAGTTGCAACAGACTATAACAAAACTTTACAATACTATGAAAACAAAAAGACCAAGTATGCACAGAAATTCGCAGGAAGTGTAGCAGGGATAGAATAGAAAAAACTGCAGCTGCAATATTTACCCTTTAAATTTCCCTCGACAGCACAGCAGAGATGACATGCTGGTCGTCAGCGCCTGGAGGGCCACCCCCTTGTACTGGGAGCACATTTAGTCTGAAACGAACAACAAACAAAAAATTAAATGCATGAACAATCCATACATGCTGTTATTTCGCTTCAGTGGCCGCTTCAGAGAAAGCAAGCATGCACACCGTTATCCAACCATGTCAACTGCTAGCTGATACTTTCTGCCACCAGGATTAAGATATTGCTTGCGCTATAAAAAAAAAGAAAAACATTTACACACTACCCAGCTGGCACGCTGAAAGTTCAAACATTGAAGAAACTACAACATAAAACTTCAATGCAAGAGCTACACCTCGTGGACAATACACAAAAGTATGTTCAGTGTAAACCTTGGTGCACTGCAAGGCTGATTTACCTCAGCCAGTTTGGAACATCTGCAGTTCCATTCTTTTCAAGATATTATGCCTGAAAATTTGTGACAAATTAACTGGGTTAAAATTTTTTAATCGACACCCGGCCCACATATTTAGGAAGTATACTAGTGGGTTAATTTCTAACTTACCATAATTATTTTCGGCATCCTGAGGGCGTCACTTCAGGGTCTTTTCATATTGGATTTACCTCGCCCACACAGGTGCAACCACACTGAAATGTTTGCAAAGTTTCAGGCAGGGTAATTAAACGTCTGCAGTTTCTCTCGAACACCGCTGTCACAAATTTTGTCTTTTTTGCCATTTTGGTCTGTTTATAGGTGGTTTGGGGGAGGGTCAATTACAATCCTCGCACATGTTTACCTGAGCGTCAAAGGCTTGAGCTCGGATGAGACTATACTCCTTTTCATACTTAAGGTGCAGCGCTGTCAAAGCTACTGGCGCGAGTGTGGGGCTTGGTCTTGTTGATCATTTGCACGCCTTCTCGCACAAACAAAACCGTAGATGAAGCCACGCACTCGCGCCAGTAGCTTTGACAGCGTTGCACGCTAAGTATGAAAAAGTATAATGCCGGCCGAGCTTCAAACCAATGGGAAGAGGAAGACAAGCGTTTCGGGTTGACCAACCACGAACCTGTGACAACCGCATAGGTCATTCAACACATGTCTTATACCGCTTAAACACTGTGTCGAACTGCATTTTGAAGTCAGTCCCAATTCCAACGGTGTATGAACAGGGGCATTCATTTCGTGGCATGCCTTGAAATTAATCGACGTGACGCAAGCTGGGAACACACTGCTGCTGCTTCATTTGGGAATAACTGCGGTCCTCGGCTTGATCACATCACAATTGCAAAATGAAAGAGAAAAAAAAAGAGGCAAAAGGAACAACTGCTTTATCAAAAGTTCTAACCGACAAATGTAAACCCAGTTCAATTCTAGAAAGCCAGGGGACCGAAGTTTGTCCTAACAGTACAATTTAGTCCACTTCCATAACTTCAAAACAAAAGATGGATATCCTCTTCAACCATTTTGACCGAAAAGGAATATTGTCTCTGCATGAACCGAATTCCAAGGAAGTCTAACTTCGGAAATGTATGTAGTATTATCAATGTAATCAATTTATAGTTGAAAGACATCAGTACACTGCTAGACCAATAAGACATTTCCTAAAGCAGCGGACTGAAAGTAGCATTAGGAATTCAATACGTGCTCTGTTGACATGAGCTACACTTTCTCGGACCATACACAGAATGAGTGGCAACTTTTCATTACGCTACACATAGATCCAAATATTAGGACAGATAAAGCAAACCCAACTAGTTAAAAAAAAAGAAAAAAAAAACATTCTAGCTTAACGAGAAAATATGGAGTTTTAGAATATCGGGCGCTACTTTACCGCGCGTTACGGACGACAAAATAGCGAGGATTGCGGCGAAGAGTTTTAGAATAATGTTTCTCTGATGGGGGACCCCTCCAAACGCAAGCATCTCGCGCTTAAAACGCCACCAAGATGTCGCGGCAGCTTTTATTTGAAAGTTAGAACGTTTTATCTTGAAAATTAAACAAGCTTTTTGTCCAGAGTAACATTTTTATAGCTTTTTACACTCAATGTCGCATGTTTTGTTTTTGTCGCTGCCAAGCTGCTCTGTTGTACTTACGAAGCCCAGACGATCCACTACCCAGGCATGCTTACATGTCTGCCGCGATCGTAAGTGCACGCGCCTCGATAGCTTTGAGCTGTGAATCCAGCGATCCGTTGCGTTTTCAATACGCGTCGACCATACCGACCGCGGTCCCCGAGTGCGACTCACGCGGTTCCCGAGCGGGCGACGGCGTCGAAGACGCATTCAACGGAGATGTCGTGGGCGCCGCCTTTTGCGGTACGCCCACGCTATTATCGATAAATAACGGGCCCCAAAGCTGAAGTCCGAAGCTTGTTTTGGGTCTGCGCATGCACAGCAGCCGCGAGATTATTCTAAAACTCCATAATGTTCACTTCTCGTTCAACGCGTACAATGCAAACAAAGAAATACACTTACCAACTGCGTTGAGTTGCTCGTTCTGTTGCGTCGTCGGCCTTCCGCGCTCTTCTTGAACATAATCATCACAAGAGAAAACTTCACGGATAGATAAACTTGATTAAATTAGCACATTTCCATTTCTAAAGACATTTCCATACCGCGAAACGGCGAAACACCCAACGGTCGCAAAAATGGCGAAACCATGCCGGAAAAAAACCAAAAAAACAAAGAACTGGTGTCGCTACCGATAGGGCGTCAAAGACGCGATCCTTAAAATATGAAAACGAAACCAGTAAAAGTTACAATACTGAAACCGAAACTGACCAAATCGCGATAGAGGGGCGCCGTAGATAGATCTGTTCACATGATGCATCTTGTTGGCGAATCTTGTGTCGCGAAACTAGGTTTCGGGAAATAGATTCCCCATCTGAACGCAACCGAAAAAGTGGCGCGCCTTCGAAAAAAGGGGCGCGTGTTTCTCGCTTCTGGAGCAATTTTTCGCTGAAACCTCACCGACGCCCGTCAATCTCCCGAAGGAGAAACGCGGACGCTGCCAATGGCCGCTCGACTTCGCTATGACGTCTGACCTTCGAGGAGGAGCGAGCTTTTGGAGGAGTCTGATCTTTGGCCGATTCCGTATCCGAGCCGAAGCCGAAAGAAAACAAAACAAACATGTCGAGCGACATACGGGCGACGAGTCTTGGTCCTGCTCGGTTGCAGGCGCCTACAGTACGGATTGGGGGCGCGGTGCAGATTCGTCAACAGTCGCGGCGGGTGCAAGCACTGTATATAAACATGGTGACTGGGGATAACGTTCTTTATTAGCGGTGCAAAAATGTCCGAAATGCTTCGAGATCATCTCGCGGTTTCTCCCGGGTTTGGCAGAACTAGTAAACCCGTTGAGCCGAATCTGACGAAATTCATTGAGTGGCATTAATAAAACAGGCTGTCTCTTCACACTGTGCGTACTTTATATCATTTTGATGCGAGACGCTTAATATTCCAGGTGCAGACAAGGTTTGGCGAAATTCTCGTGAGTCAATATGTCACAGGTTTCGCGCGTCAAACTCCACGTGTGAACAGGCCGATTTCGCGAAATCTTGGTTTCGCTAAACTGTGGCGCGTTGAAGACATACATCGTTTGAATAAGCCTTTAAAAGTAAAAGAGGGTGAATACAGTTATTATTTTAAGCACGGGAAATAAATCTGTAGATCAGAACTAGCACCGACGCGCTATTTGCTTCGGGTGCAATGCAGTAGGGAGTAGATTTATTGATTTTTTTTTTGATAACACTCATTTCAATGTGTAATGAGTAAATACAAAAGAATCGCTATTGATTGGGTAACGATAAACCTCACTTGAATTTGTAATGAGTAAACTCAAAAGAATTGATATTGATTGGGTAACGATAAACCTCACTTGAATTTGTAATGAGTAAACTCAAAAGAATAGATATGGAGTGGGTAATGATAAAACTCATTTAACGATGAGTTTCTTATGAGTTTCATTTGACTCTATAAAAACACATTAGAAGCTCGATTGAAACTCATTGTTCATTTTTGTAAGGGATGTTTCTATCAACGGTCGCGCATCTCGGACTTCGTTATATCAGGATATTAAAAGGACCCTGGCAGGCTCCCCTGGCAGGTTCTACCTGAGACGACGCGAGTACGATTGATATGAGGTCGAAAACAAAAAGTTTACGACAAATTATATTTACAAAAGGAAGAAAATAGAGCGGAAAGCAAAGAAGTGTGCACAGAGCAAAATAGGAAAGAATGCACACACACTAAATAACCTCTAGAGTTCCGAAAAAGGGGCTGTTCGGAGCAGGCCTTAGAGTTCAAGTTCGTTGCGTCGACGAACCGTTGTGACTTTCCAAAGGCAGTGAAGGCCATTGTCTCCTAGGAGTCTGAAGGGGAGTGTGGAACTCTTGCCGCGAACCTTTGTGCACGGCAATGGTCGGGCGGGTCCCGAGGAGCGTAGCCATGGACAAAATCCGCCACTTCCTCCCGGCCCTCCCTATAAAAATGATTTTTGACTTTTTATTGGAAACGTGTTGACTTCTTGTTGACTCTGATTACTTCCTTTTGACTTTGACTTTCTGTTGACATGGACAACAGAAATTTTGTTGACTTTGTGTTAAAACTCTTCTTATGATTTTCTTCAGCTTGAGTCAAAAGAAAAGCTGTTGACTTCCTACTAACTTTATGTTGATTTTTTTTCTGCTCACTTTCTGTTGACGGTGGCATCAGAATTACTGCAGACGTTCTGTTTACTTTGTGTTGAACATTTTCTGTTGACTCTCTGTAGCCAGTGTCAATAAAAAAGCTACAGATTTTGTGTTGATTTTTTATTGAACATTGTACATCTCGACTAGATGTCAGAAGTCGCTAAGTTTTTCAATAGTCTCTGACGAGGTGGGAACGGGAAGCAGCTTCAGTTGTCCCGCCTCCAGCGCGAGCCTACTACCCTTGGCAACGCTTCGGCGTTCGTGCACCTCGAGCGCGCGCGTGCAGTCAAAGCACGACGGAAGGCATGGGGAGCGAGCTGGAGGCCAGGCGTTCGAAAGGCATGCCCTGCCGTTCTGACCGTGTCAGTGA